CTCTGGAAAGAGCAGATTGCTCTTCCAGTTAGAAAAATCATGATTTCTCTTTGAATCTGGTGCTGCCTTGAAAACACTCATTCCTTTGAGTGCTTGTCTGAGTTGCTAGCCACATTACCGTAAAAGATCAGGATGAACAATCTTGTTCACAAGGAAAACCCCGCAGCCCTGAGCAGCTGCTCCCTCCAGCAGGAACCCCTGGGGCCGTCCCAGGCCTTGGGTCGTCTTCAGTGGTGAGGGGACGGATGCTGCCTTTTGGGTTGTGTTGTCATTGAACCAGCTGGGAAACAGAGAAATTCGCTGACTCATCTGCTCTTTCCCGACAGTCAGCACACAAGGAATTTTCGTAAATTTAAGATGATATATGAAATCAGAGCTGCTTGAGGCTAAAGTGCTCAGGATAAGCTGGTGGACTCAAACAGAGTAGTGGCTGATTTTAATTTTGGGAATGATCGCTTGTCTTTCGTATCTCGGTTGTCCCGACAGGAGGAAATATTTTCAGCTTTATCCTTTGCCGGCCACATCTAAGGGAAGATCATGTTTTATGTTGTCACTTTTAATGAGGCCCATGGGGGACAACGTACTGGACGCTGATGCTATTTACATCCCGCAAAGACAACTCGGGAGAGGCTAGAAAGGCCCTCCAGGAAGTCTCTTAAGATGGTCTCCATGCTGCCTGCATGTCAGCTGAGCCCTTACTCTGTGCTAGGTACGGTGACCACCCCTGAGGACACAGCAGTGACTTGAAACTTGAAAGGGAGCGCACGTGGGGCTGGGGAGGGGGGGGGATAGACAGACATTAGTACAGTCATCACAAACAATTAAAATCTGTACCAAGTACACCAAAGGAAAAGTGAGGGGTTTCGTCTGGTCTGAGGGATCCTGGAAGGCTTCATGAAGGAAGGGACGTTAGAACCAAGATCTAGACACTGAGGAGGCATGAGCCCAGGGAGGGGAGTGGGAGGGACCTTCCAGGCTGGTGCTGGGTTTTACTCACGCACCGTGAGGCGTGGGCAGGTGTTCAGAAGGTGACGGGTCACTGTGTGTAGCACTTGCAGACCATGGGGATAAACATGGTCGTCAGGAAGAGCGCCGAGAAGTCATTGAAAGGTTTCAGCCCAGGGGGTTGTCGTGACCAGGCATGTGCTTTGAGAAGATCCCGCTGGCTGCAGCGTGAGGAAGTGGTCAAAGGAGCAGAGGCATGGAGTCCTCAGGCTTGGGCAGTCAGCTCTCGTGGAAGGTGGGTGAGATGTGATGGCAGCTGAGGCCGGGGCGCAGAGCTGGGGAGAAGGAAAATGCCTGACCCTGTGCACGGGAGCATTACCCAGAAAGCTTGCATTTGCTGAATAACAATTCTTTAACCCTCTGCAGTATGCGCTCCCCCTGGAGTCCCTCAGGCACCATGAGAATATCATGAGAGTGCTGTCTGTGGGCAAGAAGGATCACCAGGTGCCCTGGTAACTGAGCTCCTACGGCTTGTGTCGCCATTAAATAGCAACCAGCTCCTTAGGTCTCCCGACTCCTGCTCCCACCCAGCCCCTCCCGTTCAGTGTCGGGCATCTACACAAAGCCCTAGGGAACC